CAGGCTCCCTTGACATTCCTTTCATAGAACTGAGGCCAAGGAGGTGAGGAAGGGACTGGGGCAAGATTCTGAATGTGTGAGAATGAGCCCCACCTCCTCCCCAGGAATCAGGTCTGGCTGCTGCTGGCATGTTTGCTTATGGACCCTTTGGCAGCCAACCCATGATTAGAGAAAGGCAAGACAATAAAGACAAGACAGAGGCTAATTTCCTGGAGTACTAGGAAATTGGGGATCAGCTACAAGAAGGATGTGTAGGCATCTGGCCAGGCAAGAGTGGGACCACGGGTGCCTAACTTGTCCCCACCCATACACTCTGAATGGGAACTCTTGCTCAGCGTAGCCCTCAGACGCCAACAGCCCAAGGGACCAGGAGCTGGCTCTACTGTCAGGCCTCCTGGGGACCTTCTCCCTCTGCTGGTCTTTGTTTATTTTTGTTCAAAAGAAAAACAAATGAAATAAACAAGAAAATTCAATTTAAACAGGGCCTGGGTGCTGATGTTTCTGTTTTGTTACACCAGGGTGAGCTTAGGACAGAAAATCAGCCTTGACTTTCACTCCTCCGATTGGTCTCACCCTGTGGTGCCGTGTACAATTACATGGATGGAGGGGCTGCAAAAGCAATTTCCCTTTTTAGGTGGGGTGGAGAGAGGATGGGGTTGGAGGAGAGCCAGATAGAGAGGGAGAGAAAGAGGGGGGAAGGTGGGGAAACCAAAGTCAAATAAGAAGTAGGAAAGATTGAGATATATCTGTAGAAACAGAAAAGAAGAAAATGACAAACAGAGGCTGAGCAAGGCAAAGAAGGAATGAGAGGACAAGTGAGAGTGGACAAAGACAAAGAGGCATAAAGAACTACTTATGCAGAAAGGGGACAAAAGACAAGAAGAGACAGAGAGAAGCAGAGGTCCCTGTGAGGTGAAACAAAAGTGAAAGAGGCAGGTAAGTTAGTAGGGTGAGAGCCCAGGAGAAGAAAATGGAGAGAGAGGAGACTAACCACTATGGCAAAATTATGAAATCCCAGAATTCTTGAGCTCAAATGGCACTAATGGTACTTCCATCTTAAAGACACTGAAATTGAGGAACAGGGAGAGGATATGAATGCCTTGCCCAAGGCCACAAAGGCAGAGCTGGTGGTAGTGGGACATGAACCCATATTTCCTGGCTGAGAGAGTGGTCCTCATGTTTATGCCACCTAAATCTATTCAACACACCTTCTGACAGCATGGGTCAAGGTTTAGCATTCAATGGTGCTTAATTAAAACTTGGCTTTTTCCAAGCCTCCAGGCCCCTGGACGTATCCTCTCTTTTCATGCTATTTTTTCCCCAAGGATCCTGTATGATCATTCTTTCAAGGGCTGGTGGGACTCCAACCTAGCTCATAGGGACTATTTCTTCTAGGATAATGCTTGGAAGATAAAGGCAGTGATAACCAGAAGAGAGGAGTGGGAAGAAGAAGGATACACCTAACATTTCCTACAACCCTCAAATGTGTCAAGCCTTGGGATAAACCCTGTCTGTGGAGTTTCTCATGTAATCCTCCTTCTCTGCCACTCCACGGAAGAAAGATGAGAAAAGCTGCTTCCAGTAAGATTTATAGCCTTGGAAACTCTATGGGGCAATCCTACTCCTAGAGAGTTGCTATCAGTCAGATTCAACTTGATGGCAGGGGGTTGGGTGGGTTCCAGTGGAAGAAATTGTTGCACAGAACAGTGAAAAGTGACTTGCTGTGAGGCAAGTTATGAATAAGTATGTGGCAGAACCAGGATTTGCACCTAGCTCAGCCTGACCCCAAATCCTGCACTTTTCTACTGCCACACATAGTCCTTTTGGCCCAAGAGGAAAAAACAAATTTTGGTAAAGGATGAGTAAGCAGAAAATGAGAAACCCTAAGAACTGACACTGGAACAATTTTCAAATTCGAGACCGAGTGGGTCAGACTTCATGGGAGAAGAGCCGCCAGTGGGATAAGAGACTGCTCCAAACACCACTCTGGCTTCTGGTCAGAGTGGCTCAGGTCCCAGGGCCATTAATAAAATCAATTTTAAAAAGAAAAGAAAGAAGTGCTCAGAGTTAGAGACAAGCACATTATCAGGGCAGAGGATAAAAAGATGTTCCCCACATCAGGAGGTGGGAAAGGAGGAGGGGGTTGTCAGACAGTGAGGACAAGAAGGGGCAGAGGGAAGTCTTCATCACTATTAAAGGACGGCAGTTGATTTGTCAGCTCTCAGTGGTCACTGCTTTTGGGGTTCCATAAAACATTTCATTGCTCTATACATAATGGGTCTGTAGGATTCCAGCCCAGCTAATGTCAAGTGCCCACAATGTCACCCAAAGACAGGGTCACTACTTCTGCCTCACTGGACAGGCACCACCTGCCAGGGCTCTGCTCTTCTCTGCTAGATGCCATCTCTCCCAGGGTTTAGAGAATGGGGTGGAGTGAGGATGGAGGAATTTGAAATTAACAATTACTACAATAAGGGTAGCAATAGCAACAGTGATAACAGCTCTTACTGGGAGCTCACCACTGAAAGGGGAGCTTTTGTGTATTATCTCAGCAAAGCTTCCTGAGGCCCCAGTGAGCCAGACACCATATTGTCTCCATTTGCACTGAACAGGAAATGGAGTCTTATAGGGTGAAAAACGCCCTAAATATTCCATAGCTGGTATGGCACAGGGCAGGGATTTGAACTCAGGTTTATCTGCCTCCAGTCTATGCTGTGTGACATATAAGGGACAGAGGAATCATTGACAACTATCAGGAAATCTTCTAACAGTGCCAATTTCTCCATATAAGCCTAGATTTTTAGAGTTGAAGGTAAACTTATAGATCTTTACCTACTAGCACGATTGTATTTCACAGATGAGCTTAGTGATAAAGAGGATATAGAATCACTCTTGGGGTTTGGGTCCCAATCCCACCACTCATTGTAAGGATTGTGTTGTTGTTGTTATCAGTTGCCATCAAGTTGATTCTAACTCATAGTGACCTCATGTCACAGAGTAGAACTTCTCCAAAGGATTTTCTTGCCTGAAATCTTTATGGAAGCAGATCACGTCTTTCTCCTGCAGACCTGCTGGGTAGGTTCGAACTTCCAATCTTTCAGTTAGCAGCCTAGTGTTTAAACATTTGTGCCTTATGAGGACTGTAGTTACTCTTTATGGCCTAAAGCGCATACTATGTTACTGTGTGAAGTTTACCCAGATACTTCACTGCAAGAGATCAGAAAGCCTATTGTACTTTAGAGATTCCATTCACAGAGCACCCACTGCCCCAACTACTTTAGCTGTTTTGTGAAAGATAAAACTTAGGCCCCAAGAACTCAGAGACAGTGGTAGAGTTGGGAATCAGAAGACCTACTATGATCTTCTTGACTTTGGTGCAGGAATGCAATGGGTATTGCCAGTGAGTTTGACTACATCAAGTGTTCAAAAAGGCACTGTTGTCTTTAGAAAAGAAATCTTTCAGGTAAAGAGAGGAAAGGAGAGATGGAATTTGTTTTGTGGGTGAGATTGCTTCACAGCTTGCGAGGCACTAATATTTCTTATAGGATCTCTGGTGGCGTAGTGCCTAAGGCATTTGACTGTTAACCAGAAGGCTGGCGGTTCAAATCCACTGGTCACTCCTTGGAAGGAAGGTGGGGTAATCTATTTCTGTAGTGATATCACCTTGGAAAGGCAAGGAGAGGTCACTATGAGTCAGCTCTGACTCTAGAGCAGTGAGGTTTTTTTTTTTTTTTTTTTTTTAATATTTATTATTCTCACAAAATTCAGCAATCTAGAGTTTATTTCTCTTTTATAAAGGCTAAAACTGAGGCTTATGGAGATAACGATTTACCTAAAGTCATATAACTAAAAATGTCAAAGCCATATTTGAATCCATAGTCTGGGGCCTTTATACTACCATTAGGTTATATGTTACCTGAGAATAGGAACTCTTCTTAGTCACATTCCTACCTGTGGTCCCTTGTAGTATTGGGACATAGAAATCCTCAGAAAATGCTTCTTGAATTAGTAATTGAGTAGTGAATTCATAAATAAAAATGTGAATGAAAGAAAGAAGTGATGAATGAGTAAGTGATTGGATAACTGAGTAACAAAGTGGATGAAAAACTATATGGATGAATGTGATGGGTAGAAGGATGTGTGGACAAATGGATGGATGGATGGATGGATAGATGGCAAATGGATGGATAGGTGCATGAGTAAATTAGTTAAGTGTGTGAGTGAAAGAATGAATGAATATGTGGGTTGAATAATTGGTGAATGAGGGTAAACCCATAAACACAGCTTTATAGGTTAGCAATGAAAATGGTCTATGGTTTCATAATACAGTTGCTTAAGGAGAATTGGTCTGTAGAGGTGTGTATCATAGCTTATGATGGTTGTACTCAGGTGTAGCACCACTCATGAAGATGGGAAACAAGAGGAAAATGAATCCCATTTCCCTTCTGAGACTGACAGATGAGTCTCAGAGTGACTTCTTGCATCTCCAGAAGTTGAGAGGGAGTGATGATGGAATTATATCCAAGGGTCTGGCTGGATCGATTAGTAAAAAAAAAAAAAAAAAGTAGATATACTACAGTTATGCTAATCTCCCCCCTCACCACCACCTCCAGAGCAGACAGCAACATAGAGAGAAAAGAACACCAGGCAGGTACTTCTGTCAAAACCAGGCAGGCACTTCTGCCCAGGCCTCTTTAGTAACTTGGTCTGTGACCTTGAGCAAGCCACTTTCTCTTTTGAACTTCAAATTCTTCAGCAGTAACAGGAATGGTTTTGAGTTGCTGGCCTCCCTGGCCCTTCAACATTCTCCACTATATGGTTGTAAACCTTAACATCTCAATGTGTACACACATGCTGGTCAAAAAAAAAAAAAAACCCTTTGCTGGCCTGGACAGAATTACTCATGTCTTTCTTGCTAGGCTTATGATCTTCCTATCTGCTTCACGTTCCCCACACATCCAACATGTCTTACTTGTAGAGACCATCAGGCTCCAGACACTTGAAGATGACCGAGTAGATACTGACTTCAGGGACCTCCCCATGGCTTCGACCAGCTGCTACGCAAGATGTGCCCAGGCCAGAGAGTAAGTCATCAGCAAAACTCAGGAATTCTCCTAGAGGGAGACAAAGATAAATGAGCTTTCCAGCCCAGGTTTAGTGAAAAGACATTTGTGCTGCTATCCAAACTCATCCAATGTCTGGACACCACTGTAAGGAGGAGTAGTGGGCAGAAAAAACACAGGATTTGAAAACGTTGCAGGTTATCTATCATCTAGGCTCCAATGACACTTTGTTGACATTTAAGCCTCAGTTTTCTCACCTGCAAAGCAGCAATATTAATACTTACCTTTATAAGAATGTAGCAAGACTCAAATGAGGCGAATTAATATGTAAGAAAAAAATGGTTGAAAGGGCAGCAGGAGGATTGAGAGTTGTGTTTATTTTCTGAGTAACAATTCTGACTTTGGCACTGTCACCAATTTTTTCTTAAATCCTCACATAAGGCCCTTCTTTGTCAGAATTGCATTTTCTTTCTTTGAATAACAAAGGAGTTGAACTAGCTAAGTGAGTAAAATAGGTTTCATGTCACATAGCCACTCTTTTGCACTGTTCCTGAATTCACAGAATGTTATGTTGAGGTGGAAATGGAGACCCAGCCCAGCAAAGGAGGGAAGAGTGCCATGACTTGATAAACAATGAAGGTCAGGAGTATAGGGAAAGAAGTGGAAGAACAAGTACCACATATTTTCAAACTCTGAACTCTATGATATATAAAAGCCAATCCAGCCATTGGATTTTAGGAAGCAGCTGCAGTTTACTACAAAGAGGACAAAAAGGAGATCAGAAAGTAACCAAAAACCAAACCCACTACCACTGACTCCCTTCTGACTCATAGTGACCCTCACTGGGTTTTCAAGGCAGTAAATCTTTATGGAAATAGATTGCCTCTTCTTCCTTCCATGGAACAGCTGGTGGGTTTGAACTGCCAACCTTCTGGTTAGCAGTCAAATGACTTAGGCACTGAACCACCAGAGCTCTTTATCAGTAAGTAAGAAAGATTAAAAAGAACAACTGACACGAAAAGAGAGAAGATGGCGGACTAGGCAGAAGGATTGCACAGACCCTCTTCAACAAAGAAAAGGGAAACCAATTAACACAGACACAGAAGATAAT